ATGGAGGCAAAAGGAAGTTGTCTCTACCTGCATCCCAGGTTCCATCACCAACATGCATTGTGTCCGAGTTGTAGGTACTGCTCCCTGGCGGAGCGAGCTGCGGCGACGGCGACATGGTTGTGGGAGGCTATGCTCCGGAGATCAAGACGTCCGGACCATCAACAAGACGATATCGCGATTTGCGCACCGGTGTCTGGTATGGTGGAGGGTGGAGGGTGGAGGGCGGAGGCTGAAGCCTTGTCGCTGGTTGTCGGTGAACTGAGCTCCGATTGACTTTTTGTTTACTTCAAGCTCACAAGCGGGGTAAGGTCAAGGTGAAAGAAGCCTCCTAAGTCGAGTCAAATGATGGTTAGGGTTCACTCAATAAGTTGGCATGTAGCTGTCGCAAAACCTATTATTGTTCGGTCAATGCTATTGTCTCGACCAGACGCAAGACTGAAGCGGCGTTGATTGTCGCTACTGCAAGTGAGTTGCTCTTCGACAGTTGTTGGGGGCAACCCGGTTGGTGGAGAATTCCTGCTCGCCTGGCAATGCCACGCACGCGCACACCCTCTTAGACCGTCTTCTGCGCTGTCTCTTAGCCTATCAGGTTGCACATCTGCGTGGAACGGAAACCCAGATCGCCTCATCGCTTGGGCTGCAATAGCGCAGTTTTGCATGGATAAGTGATCCGCCAAAAAACGCTGCCGTCATTCAGGGAGACGTCGAAGTCGAAGTCGACGTCGATGTCGCATCTCGAAGCCGCAGATTGTGCGTCTCGCGACAATGACGATTGACGACGAGGAGAGGGCTCACCTCGTAAAAGCGGTTTCCAGGTGACCATCTCTGTCAAACGCGGTTGAGCGATACAGCGCAAACACTAACAGATCAAACCAGGCTTCTGGGATGGATATAGTGAGTCTGTAACGTCTGTATGAAACTCGATGCTGATGTGGACGCAGCACGTTGTCATGGAGCGCTTCTTTCTATCCTCAGCCACGGTTGAACTGGCAGCGGCGCTCAACCCAGGGGCTGGCGATTGACTTCCCACTGCTTAACGTTCTAGGCTTTGTATGCTATAGCATCTCGACTTGTAGCTTTTGGTTTTCACCAACTATCCGACAGCAATATGCAGCACGGCATCCGGCCTCACCGGAGCCCACCGTCCAACTCAACGATGTGGCCTTCGGTGTTCACGCTGTCATCCTGGTCACCGTGACGTACTCACAGTTCTTCTCTCGGTTATGGAGATTCCCCAATCCATCTCGTCAGCGAGCAACCCGGCCGGTTCTAGGTATTCTTTGGGGGAGTATCGTGGGTGTTGCTGGCATCATGGCCGTGGTGGTGTTTCGCTCGGGTTGGAAAGACCAGGACCCGCTCGACTGGGCCTGGATTGATGTGGTGAGATTGTCACATTGCCCAAATTCGGCGCTTGTGGTGGTGCTGACCTTGGATATCGTAGTTGTACGCATTGGGGTATGTGAAACTCATCGCCACATTCGTCAAGTACATTCCGCAAGCCTTCTTCAACTACAAGCGCAAATCGACCGAGGGCTGGAGTATCTGGCAGATCCTGTTCGACCTTACAGGAGGTGTGCTCTCCGTCGCACAACTCGTCTTGGATGCCAGTTTTGGTGGTGATTGGAGTGGAATCACCGGCAATCCGCTCAAACTGGGTCTCGCAAACATTAGCATGGCTTTTGATGTGGTTTTCATCACTCAACACTTTATCCTCTACCGCGGTCAGGACGACGTCACGAGCATTCCGGACGATGAGGACGACTCCCAGAGGCCGTTGCTCAGCCAGTGACAGCTCAACAGCTCTGTCTGGTATAACTTTGCGATGCGGCCGCAGAGAATCTTCAGGCAGCTTACCTTTGTCGAAGAAATTGAAAAGAGAAGTCAACGCTCGATCGGCCTCACCACATTATCGATTCTCGTCCTGACTTAAGGACATCACTGACTCTCCTTATTTTACGAGACCTTTTGCCGAATGTGGCACAGGCGGCTCCGGGCCAGTGCTAAAACGATTGATGGCTTCTCGCCAGATGACGCCTCCGGCCCCATCTAGCTAATCGCCATACGACCGTCGACGGCGTGTACCCGAAGGGTCTGGGTGTGAAATTAGAAAGCCACACGTTGGCTGCATGGTAGCAGTACGGTGTCAGCGCCTTCCAGCGCGGCTCGAGTGCTAGCCGTTAGGCGATTGAACTCGACATGTCTAGATCGGGGGAGCGGGCCGTGCTTGGGTCGTTGCAGTCTTCACGTTCGAGGAAGCAGAGCAGGAGTCGGACGTAGATGTACCTGCCAAGTCTACGCCAGTATTAGAGGCGGCCGATCACCCTGAATAGAATCACTACGGCAAGCTTGCCCTTGATATAGGCTTCCGGGGCCGCCTCTAGACGAGTCCATATGGACGATTGCCGGGCGAGGCTACACGCTTTGTTCATATGCCCACAATCGGCTATAGCCTGTGTTGCCAGGGGTCTTATCTCCATGCCCTCGTTGCCCAATATGACTTTGTGATGACGGACCGGTCGACAAAGTTATTTTGGCTCGGCATATGCAGAGTGAGACGTAGACAGAAGGTGATCGGATCGGTAGAATAGAGAGACAGCCTCGGTCGCATCGCTTCCATCTTTAGGCAGCTGCATCCCTGCGCTTGCTCGCAGCTTTCCGTCGGAGGTCGAACTGGCCGAAAGGGTCGGATTGCGTGTCATTGCGGCCAATGCCAAAGTCAAAAGTGGTTTTGAGTTTTAACTGGATGCACTCGGGCGTGGTCGACGGGGATGAGTCCGCGCAGTGGGAGCGAGGCCATGTTGATCGAGCGAGCATCTCTTTGGCTGTGCTTTTTGTGGTCAAACGCACCTCCGGCATGCCGAGCTGGCGGCTAAACCCTTCCAGGCCAGTCAATCGACCTCCAGGCGAGGCTTGACTAATGGAGAAGTGAGGGTTAAGTGAGGGTTAAGTGAGGGTTCGCATGCACGTCCAAGGGCGTCAAGCAAGCTAGCGACCGCGGGCCGCACAGCTCCCTTGAGGCTCTTCGTAACTGTGGCTTGGCTCAGAGCCACATCCCAGCCAGGCTGTTTCGAGCTGGAGGTGACGAGGATGGAAGCGCACGCAGATCCTTGGACCGTGACTGAGGACTGAGGACTACGGTGAGGGCGTGGTGAAGACTGGCGTGACTGGCTACTGCCCCCGCCGGTTGCCTACATGATGCATCGCTACAGGTGTCATGGACTCTGCTGCTCCCAACGCCATGCGCAAGTTTGTAGAAGCGCTAGATTAGCTGGCTGTCGTCTTGTGGTCTGCGGACTCTGGCATTGCGCGCCCTGCCCGGCCGTCTGTGCGGTCCTCAGGCATGGATGGCTTCTCGTCCGCCAAACTGCCGAATACGAAGGCGAGCAGTCTCACGATATCCATCTCCTCTCGATTCATCCCTCGTCCAGCAATACGAAGAGCCAGTGCTGAACCGAGCAGAGAAATGCCAGTGTCGCTGGTTGGTCCACTGAGGCGTTCATGCGCTGCCCACTCCGTAGTCAGTGTTCGCAGCCACGTGCTGTTGAGGTGGTTGCTTCTCCCTTCGGACTGCGTCAGGTTATTCTTGTCTGGGCCAGCTGTCGCAAGCACAAACAAAGGGATGTCTAGCTCTTAGGCGGCAGAAAGGTTGCCTTACTTCTTGCCATGTCCCAATGGGAGCCGCGGTGCCCCCAGCGCCCGCCGTGCCTCCACTGTTCCCGCCGCGGTCGCCTATCATCTTCCAGTGTCTGCTCGTTACCGACCACCCGAGGAGCCTCAGCTTAACTTAGCAGGGCCCCCGGGTGATTTTGCTGGGCGGTGGGCAGCTACTGGGCCATCGTAGGCTAAGGTCACTTAGCTCAGCAGGGCGCCATGCCCATCACAGCCGCATGCTCGCGTCCAGACTCACCAGGTCATCACCATGGCCGTCTTAGTACAAATCCAACCACGAGACCTCGTCGACAACGCAGCATTGACCATCGACAGCCAAGCACGGGCAACAAAGCACTTCCAACCTTCCCTCTCCAGCCTTCACTCAGTCCATTCTTTGGGGCATATCCCTGCAGTCCTCAAGTTCTCTCCCTCTTCGCAACGGACGTAGCACCCACTGATCCCGGGCCGCGGCGGGGCTGTGCTTCGTTCTAAGCCTCCACGCCTCCCAAGGCTCCAGTATTTGGTGTCCTCGGTGCCGCATCCCTTCACGTACGGGAGGTGATGCTACAGCACTGGTTGACTCGTCAGATCTCGCACAGACAACGGCCTCGCAAGACGACCTCTTCGACCTGGCTGTAGCCCTCGACGACGAAATTCCCTCTGCTACCCCCAACAACCATCCGCCGCGGCGCTCACAATTGACGGTGCTCAAGTTGTCCGCCATCAGGCCAGCCACCCAGAGTGTACAAGGACTGCTGAGCCTCCCAAGCGACGAGCCTCATCCGCCGCTGCAGAGCCCCTCACTCGTCCCACATACCGAGTCACTAATTACCACACACAATCCATTCTCACCGGTACGAGCGAGTCTCACCCCCTCTCCTCTTTGTCCACCCTTTGGGCCAATGACTTTTCCAAAACTTTGTGCCTTCAATTTCTGGCTCCGCTGTCGCCGCTCCCTTCCGAAAATGCGAGAGTGCCGATCGCTCGTCCCCAGCTGAGGGTTCGGTCTGGAACTTCTTAGCCTTCACGGCTAGACCCCTGCCACGTAGAGTTCAGTCTACAACCCGCATCTGCATGATCACTGAATCCTTTGTTCGCAAGTACTGTTATTTGATGTCATTCGATCCCACGAGTCGCCCCAAGTCTTGCTCTCAAGCAACTGAGGTGCTCGCACTGACATGGCTCACGCGATAGAAGCGGACTCGGAAGACTTCGGTTCTAGAGCACGACGGTCTCTCTGAACGCTGGTTCCAGCAACGGCAAGGACTAGCCACAGTCCTCCAGGGTCCAACCGACCCTCTTTCACCAAGCCATTGGACGATTGGCCATGTGATGCCTTCGGTTCACCCATGTCCCATCAGGAATCGTTCTACGACTTCGAAAGAGATATTCTCAACCGCACTCCACCACTGGTGGCGGTAAACCCGGTTCTGGAGCCGCACGACAGTCCCGCGCCTTTGGTCCGCATCGACACTTCTTCCGACTCGACGGACGTGGAAGACACGGACGGTGTACCGGCACCCAGGAAGAAAAGAAGGAAGAGGCGAAAGGGTCGAACAAACCCAACCTTTGCCGACGGCGTACTGATTCGTTCCCTAGATCCTAACCAAAACGAATTAGCCAGTCACGTTGAGAGGAACGCGTTAGCATCGGCGAGTCAGTCAGAGGTGGAAGAGGAGGACAATGATGCTGGCCGCCGACAGCAGATGAGCAGGCCGAGCGAAGTAATTCAGTCTCGGGCAGCGCAGAATGCAACCAGACGCCGAGAGGTTGCCATCTCCCCCAATGTCGACAAGGATGATGACTGGCCGATGATCGATACTCCGGCGAATGCAGCTGAGGCGAGATATTCGCCCCCGTCTCCGAGTACCAATGGTGAAGCCCGCCGACCTCGCCAGCAAGAGCAAAACCATGCCTCCTCTCCTCTACGGGAAGACCATCCCAGGAAGCAGTTCGACACTCGGCCTCCCCCGCTGAACGAGAGATTGGGTTTGAAGCTGAATCCAAGCCATGCAGCTGCCGAGGAGGACGAGGACTCCATCATCAAGTCACCTGCTCTTGCAAAATTCGCCATCGCACGCGATCATGCCCCTCCGGATTTTATCCTCCCTGCGTTGCAGAGGAAATCGCCGCCCCGGTCGTCGCCGGCAGGTCTATTGGAGCTGAAGCACAATCTTCCGAGTATCAAGACCGCCATAGGTGATCTTCCGGACTCGAGCTTTAGTAGATTTGCTACCCTGTCCCCCATAGGACGTCCGTCTCCCATCCACTTAGCACAATATGCATCGCCCGCATCTTATTCAGCTCTATCACCTCGGGCGCCGATGGGGCCGCCCTCGCATCACGACTGGAGGGCGACAACCCGTGACTCGAATACGTCGAAGTCTTCGAGTTACGCTAGTTCCTCGGCCACAGGGTCCACACCAGCTTCGTCCATGTCTATGCCGTCGCCAGCACCCTCATATCCATCGCCCTCGTATCCGTCGCCGCCGCACCCATCTCCCCCTCATCCGTCGCTCCCGGACCCGCCGCCCGAGCCACCACAGCCTGTGCACTCGTCGCCCTTGGCAGTTGTACCAGAAGAGCACACGGACACGATACAGCCAGAATCTGTCGACGAGAGCGAATCGAAGATCAGGTCCGAATCACAGTCCGAGCCGCCCTCTGGCGATGGTTTTACCACCGATGAACCTCCTGCAAGCCGTTACGTTTCAGGTGCTTACATCTGCATGTATAATGGATGTACGGCATTACCGTTCCAGACTCAATATCTATTAAACAGTCACATGAACGTCCATTCCGACTCACGCACCCACTTTTGTTCTGTGAAAGGGTGTCCTCGCGGCCCTGGTGGTCAAGGCTTCAAGAGAAAGAACGAGATGATTAGGTGAGTATCTGATTCTAAGTAGGTCGTCCTGTGCTGCGGCTGAATGCTGACTCGCCTCGTGTTCAGACATGGGTTGGTCCACAAATCTCCAGGATACATATGTCCGTTCTGTCCCGATCAAGAGCACCGATATCCTCGACCAGATAATCTCCAGCGCCATGTTCGGCAGCATCACTTGGACAAAGACCGAGACGACCCGGTCCTCCGCGACGTCCTTGACCAGCGCGTCGAGGGAGGAACGCGCGGCGGAAGACGACGAATGCGGTTATGACCATTTTGGAAGATCCGGTTGACAGGGCCATTCGCACACCGGGATTGCAATCGTCTGCCTGACCGAAGCCCAGATTCTGTACAGCACACTCGCTTCGCTTTGCTTCACTTCGTTTCTCAAGAACTTCTTTTTCTTTCCCCTTGGGTTTGGCATTTTTGGGATTGGGTAAAAAAGGGTGTCTAAGTCATTAACGCCACGGGCTTGTCGTTTCTTATATACGCCGCACCCCACAGTCGACTCTCGCGACGCATTGCGGTCATGATACGCAATGTTATCAAGCGTCCGCGTAGCCCTGCCTTCTTATTTGTCCAACCTCGACACTTCGACTCCGATTTCCTCGTGCTGGCTAGGCGCGACAATGGTATGCACGAGAAGACGACGGAAGGGGATGCTCGGCATATATATCCCGTGCTTAGCCCTTAGCTCCAAGGAAGGCAGAAATGGCGTTGAAAGGGCCCTCTATCATGAGCAATTCACGACAGTTACGATTCTCACGATTACAGGCATGCACGGCCATGTTTCATCTTTCAGGATGGTTGGTGGGTTTGTGTGGGTTTGTGGGTTGATGGGCCGGGATGGCTTGATGGACGGATGAATGGGCAACGCCCCAATCGTTTTTCATTTCTAGTGGCACATATTATGGACGAAGAAGAGGTGGTAGAACAAAGAGACCAGGTTCTGGCGACCACCAGAGGTTTTTCTGCAGCGGAGAACGAATGAATCAGTTGGTCGGTTATCAGCGGCGAGGTCATGCGCGACTCAAGCGAACCATCAATCTGGCAATAAATCGCTCCTGATGAAGGGGGTCTGGTGGCAAAGAGCGCAGTTTCAACTCCCTGCACTTTGCTGACGCACTCGCTCACACCGCGCCCGAGAGCGATCGAGCAAGCGAGACGTCAAGAGTCCAGTGAGCGACTATGTAGTGTAGAGTTGGGATGCTACTACAGTAGATATCGAACGTGCTCCTTGCCAAGTACCCGCTTACTGACCTGCCTGCCTGCCTCCCTCCTAAATTACATGTATGTTCCAAACTATGAAATCCACTCGCCGCCGTTGTTGACCTACTGTTTCATACATATGGCCCACGGATACTCCCTACAGATCACAGGACTCAAGCCGAGAACAATACAACCTCTGTCGCTATTCCCAGTCCCCAGCCCTTTGTGCGCAGTATAGAGTACGGAGTGTTGACTTGGGACTTGATTGGCGTGGTGCTACCATCGGTAGTGTAGTGCTACTCAAGTCAAAATCAAGTCAGGTCAAGTCACCCCAAGGGTCTGTACACAAGTAGGCTTGACGTTGTCCGTTCAAGAGAGGCACGCGCACACATGTCCTTGGCTACTTACCTATGGCTGGGGTGGGCTTGATGAGGACCCGTATAGTGAGCGAGCGAGCGAGAGAGAGAGAAGGAGGGGGGGGGCGCGAACGGAGTCTCAAGCCCATCTCACTCGCCAAAGACAGACCAGCCAGCCAATCAGCCACAATACCCAGTAGATAGATACAGTACTCCGTCCTCCGTATGTGGGTATACTCGTGGCGACCAAATCCTGCGTGCAATTCGTGTCCCTGGCGCTGTCACGTCGCGATCAGGGGGGCATGGACGATGACAGTGCAAGCAGGGCAAGTAGGTAAGTAAAGTAGATAGGCAGGCGAGGTAGCCAGTTCTCGAGGAAATAACAACAATGATCTTCATGAGCATGTGGTGTGATAGACTCATCGTCGACATCGAATACCGGCAACGACAGGGGCGAACCTCCTTCTTGACCCTTGAAATTACAGCCTGCTGTATCACACTACAACCAGGTACTTAGACGCCTGTCAAGTTGGACAGCTTGTCCTGGATCCTCTCGGCGAGCGTGGCTCCTATCTCTTTCGTGCCGCCCGCCAGCATGGTGTCAATCTCGTCCATGGTCGTCGGCTCGGTCAGACCCCAGAGTTTCCACTCGCCGTCCTCGCCCTTGGAAGTGATCTTCTGGATGACCACGTAATCGGTGTGGTCGCGAGTGGTGGTCTGCTCGGCGTCGGCGAGCTCGTATTGCTGCACGCTGCGGATCCGCACGATACACTGGCGGAGGTACGAGTCGGCGACGGGCAAGGGCGCCAGGCGGTCGGAGACGACCCTTGCGGGCGAGTTGGGCAGCAAAGGCGAGAGCGGCCACCTGTCCAGCCAGGACCAGTACTTCAGCCCGGTGTAGCCCATCAGCTTCCACCACTCGACGGGCTTGCGCATAACCTTGCGCTTCTCGATGCGCGTCCTTGCCGTGCCGAGCAAACCCTCGCAGCAGAGGGCCTGCAGAATCTTCATGTCCCCTTTACCCAGCGCCATGTGGAACCTCTCATGCAGATCCTTGGCCACGGCCACCCTCGAGTTCAGCTCCATGGGCTTCCTCATCTTCTTGCCCGTGAGAGGGTCGCGCTTGGCGTCCCATTTCAGGAACACTACCAGTCTAGAAACAGAATGGTCAGCCATGTTTCACGTCCGCTCCCACACACGCTGTGCTGAGCGGTGCTATGCTGTGAGGCTGCTGGATCACTTACGACCACCAGTCCTTGAACGCCGTCTTCATCTGCAGCCAATGGATCTTTGTTCTTTTGAGAGTCGTCCAAGGAGGTAGTTCGCTCGCTGGCGGGAGGATGAACGTCTGGGGCAGTTTCCCCAGGTCGTTGCCCATCTGCTGTTTGCTGGCCTTCTTGACTTGGCTTTTCATCGAGCTCTGTTTGGGTAGTCGGGAGTCAATATTCGTGACGTTGTTCTTTACAAGGGCATCTCTGCGTCGTGTGCTCGAGAATTGGCGCGTCGAGAGGAAGGATGTTCGGCCGGCGCATTGGGGGCAGGGGCGCCGGATATGAGGTATTGATCTGGTGGTGATGGTGGTGGCGGAGAAAGGGGATGTCACAGTAGCCTGCATGGGCAGCAGTTTTGTGATTGACTGCGACATGCTGATATTTGGGGAGTGGAATCGAATGAGGCCAGGACTTGAAAGACAGTCGCGAACATGCTGCATGAGGATCAATTCATCGAAGCTCTGCTGCGGCGGCCAAAATCACGAGTTGCACTGTTGCAGCAGCAGGCTATTCCGGATTGGGATAAGACAGACCCAGCAGCCACGTGACTATGACTCCCGAGACTAGTTCTAAATAGGTAAAGACTAATAGGCCAGATTCACCTCGAGCTATATGCTCCATCTAACTCATTCCGCTTCTTGCTCATCTCTCTATATGCATAGCTACCTGGGTATGTTTTAACTTCAAATCTACTACATGCCTTGACTGCTAATATACTCAAGCCATTGGCCTGGGCCTTCAGACTTCTCATGACTGCCAAGCGGTAGCAAACCCACAGAGCGCGATATTGAATATCCGTTGCCTGGATCCTCCTGTGTCGCTGCCCTGCCCGTTGCCCCTGCATTCTCTTCCTGGTGTTGTCCCTCGCGTTCATTGTTGTGCTGTTCTACCTATTCTTCTCTGCATTACTCTGAGTACTCTTCTCTGCGCTGTTCTAGCTGCTACCGTGGGCTCCCCCATTCAGGCATGGGGATGGTGAAAGTCAAAGTCTCGTTTGTATGAAGAGTAATTTCGACAATGTCAGTAAGTGGCCGATCGTCCTCCGTGTCGTTAGAAGGACAATCGTGGCAAACACGCTGACCATCGAAGTTCCTTCCGTCGCAACGGGGATACGGACAGTCGTACACATCTTGCCGCATATCGCTGGATCAATTGCGGCCAGACGGAGTTACCTCGTCATTATTGTGACAACTCCCAAGCTGACCGCGATCACCGCGACGGCATGTCTCGGCCAGATAAGACCACCTTCTCTTTGGCCTGCCATGAGTTCGTTGATCCGCAACTCGCGATTCTCATTCGTGTCGATCATGTGTCCACCACCATGCCATTATCTGCCTTTAGAAGGGGGGTCAGCTTCTATATCGAGGTCACTTTGTTATGCTTCAGCGACAATCACACAGAGCCACCAATCAGGACAATACCCCCAGCCTTGATCATCTTTATCAGCTAATAAAGTCGCCAGTCACTCAAACAGTAGTGTGGAGGATGTGCAAGTCTCAACTTGGCTGGCCGCATGGCGATGTAGCGGCACCTATCTCGTGGGTGTAACCCGAGTCTTCCAATTTGGACATACCGTTTCCAGTATGTTGCGGGTAACCATGCCTACCTGTTTCGATCATCTCATTAGGCATCAGATGCATGCCCCGACTCGGTATCATCATCCAGTGAGTTCTGATCACTGCCAATACTGCAGTGCGTGGCTCTTCTGCGCCGAATGGGCGCCAGGCCATCACTGCCGATGAGCCGCTGATCGCCCACGCAAGCTCGGTGAAGAGTGGCTAATTCAGTTGATCACGCACCTAACGAAGAAGACGACACGGGAAGGGAAGTCACGCTTTGGCTACGTTTTGCCTCATGCTCGTTCACTCCACTTACGCAAGTGTCGAAGTACCAGATACAATTGTAGAACAGCGGGTCCGCCGACCTTGCTGTCTTATCAGCGCTGTGCCTCGCAAGCGCCACACCGGCATCGTCTGCGCCTATACAGAACGGTAGCATCTTGAGCCCTACCCATCGCGAAGCCGTTCCAAGAGATAAGTCAGCAATTGTGATGGATGCCTTCGGACACCGCATGGACGCCATCGCTGGAATGTGGCAGCGACGCTGCTTCTAGCACTAAAAGTGTGTAGTATAAGCATGACATTGGCAGACAGAAACACGAACAAGCAGGCACGCAGAACAGATAGACACGAAATGTGAACGTCGGTAGCCCGGGCTCAAGCCAGCAGCAGCAGCAGCAGCAGCATCATCATTAGCCCGCGCAGACAAACGTACAGCCCAAGCTCAACGCACGGGATTCCGATCGACAATCCAAACCAAGAATCACTCAGACTGTCGAGTCTGTCCCAACTTCACAGGGCACACAGACCATACGAGAAGTCTCCGATTTCCGAAGTAGACGCGGGAAATGTCTCCCTCTGGTAACACTGGCAAATACGAGCAGGCAGCCCCGCCGTGTTGGGATGTAGTCTGGGAGTGAGAGTGAAACTGAAACTGAGACTGAAAACGAGTGGGCATGAAGTATGAAGGGAGGGAGGGAGTCGGTGACAACACGATAAGCGCCTACGCCATGGGTGTTTGGTTGGTTGGCCAATCCGTCCCTTTTGATTCCAATGCAATGCAGTGTATCTGAATTCGGGAAATGAGGGTTCGTCCTAGACGGGCGTGGATGCCATTGCAAGCGGAGGTCGGAACAAGACGAGACGAGAAAGTAAAGGTGAGCAATGCCTGGTGTACGAAGTATCCAACGTCGAGCAGTGACACGACTAACTAACTACATGTGCAGGCTCGCGTCTTACGTACATACGACCGTGGACCAACGAAGGAACTTATGAGTTGCTAATGGGTTGCGAATGAGCTGTGAGTTGCGAAACTTGACTCATGCCTCCCTCGTACCGGCCCTCGACTTGGCCAAAGCGAGTCAACCAACTTCGATCTCGTGTTCTTCGACATCCATCCATCATCGCTTGACGCTTCGAGCTGCTCTCTCGTGTTCGCAGCCCGCGTCTGTGCCCGTGTGCGTGTGTCTGTGCGTCAACATGCCAGTCAGTGTGGGCATCATGCACCAGTCAAACGGGTGGACGGGCCTGGCAAGCGCCAAGTGAGGGTTGTCATTCCATGTTCATGTTCATTCCCATGCTCATGCTCTTCTGATGCCGATCACGCTCCCTGCACAGTCCAGGCCAGCAGGAAATACCGTACATACAACCGGGACCACACCTCGTACCATGCAATCCCAATACCATACATACCACCTGCACACATCCATGGACGCCACCCTTGAATCCATCCCATACTAAATTAGCCCGAAGCGAAGCGAAGCGAACCAAAGTGACTCGAAGGGAAGGGAAGGGAAGTGAAGTGAACAATAACCCGAATCGACGACCTTAGGTACTCTACTCGAGGTAGGTAGCTCACGATTCGCTTCCCAGAAGTACGATCTCCATCCCGATCCGCACGTCGAATCCCCTTTCCACATCCCGCTCCATCCCACCTCGCTTGATTTCGCCTTTTGGTTCCCGTCGCTTCGATTGACGAGTTGTAGGACAGTACGGTACCTATCGGAGCGACCCAATCACTCCTCGTAACCGGTCGTGATTGCGGAGTACCTACCTAGGTAAATACCTGGTACGGAGCACTCATGCTGTGTAACGCAGACCGGTGTGGACCCGTGCTTGGACCGGAAGTCACCTCGCATGACATGACAGGAATGTGACATACCACACATAGTACGAGCTATTATGATGTTGTGATTAACAGTCTCCTAGAGGCCAGCACCACCGGTGAGTCACGCCGAGCAGGCGGGACACCGCACACCTACGTAAGTAGGTAGTAGAACAGGAACTGGACTGGACTGATGGGACTGGACTGGACGGGACGGAAAGGAAAGGAAAGGAGAGTGCAAGACGAGACGTGACATCTCTTGTGGGGGCACTGGCTATGCTCTGTCGACATACTGTGTGAAGGTCGATTTAATTACTGCTCGTAGATTCCGCCTACGGAGGAGATACGAGCTACGAAGGTCATGGAAGTGTAGACGTACGTTGATGTCGGCCGTGCTGGGTCCGTGACGTCAAGATTATTGTCATGTCCATGTAGACATGCGCCTAACATGCATATGGTGGCTGGGTTCTATCTTCCAAGTCCCGCCTGGCCTGGCCTGACGTGCTCCGAGGCTGGACTTGGACCGAATGTGAACTGATGCTGGACGAGGTAGTGGGGGTGAAAAGGCAAGGAGATGAAGATGGCCAGTGAATTAGATGGTCGATCTAGAATGCTCTCACGATAGGACAGTCTCGTTGAGAGTCGCGGGGGGAGAGTACCAGACTGATGGGCTAAGGCACTGGCACTGACACTGACACTGATACCGATACCGTGACTGGAGATTTTGTATATCGCGAACGCAGAGAAAGACATTTGAACGTGACCATATTGGAGAGTCGTACATAGCTAAATCAATGAGTGTGTCGTTGAGTCGTTCAATCGTTCAATCGTTGAATCGTTGAATCGTGACCCATAGACCACTGGACCGTTAGGCACTGACGTTGCACGTTGAACGTTGAATACCGTCGAATCTAGACGTCTCAACATGAGCAATACGTCGGTAACACCAAAGACAACCTCTTCTGGCTCTCTGCTCTGTGGACTCCATCACGCCACGCCACTGCAGTGCCGTTTCCCCGTATCGTTGTGCGTGGTCAGTCCTGCCACGCCAGCAACACTACTCAGGCAGTGCTTCCAGTTCGCCAATGAGCGATGTGTATCCTCCGAGGCCGCGTAGGGCAGGTCACCTGCTTACCCGAGACGGGGCCCTTGCGCACGATCCGCGAGTTTGCATCCTCGTCGGACGATGGATGGAGTGGATTGGGGAATGAAGAGGTGGGAGCACGGGTTCTTTGTGCCTCATATGTCTGCTGCAAGCTAGAGTAAGTGGCTTGTAGTTCAAAATTCGACCGCCTTCTCTCACCATTGGTGTGGAGCCGTAAGGAACCTCGACTGGTTGCGGAAAATGCACCGAAGATCGGGACCGTACAGGTAGGCGCGATGGTAGAGTGGTCGTTAAGATCTGGTTGAGAGATTCACTGGACGTAATGGGCTCATGGGCCGGACGATTGCAGTCCAAAACTGGATCGAGTCGCGCGCC